CACAAGCGGGAAAGGGGCAGCTGGAGCGGATCCCGCCTCCCGGCGCTTCCTGCCGCCTCCTCCCGCCCTCCCGGCGGATCCGCCCCGGAGCGGCGCCCACCTGGAGCAGGTACTCGAACTGGTAGATGCAGAGCCCCAGCTCGGCCATGCTGGGCTTGAAGAGCTCCCGCAGGCGGTATTCCTGCATGAGCCGCACGAAGACGCAGAACGCCTCCTCCTCCGGCATCTGCGCCACCGGGAAGCGCTGGGACACCCTCCGGCACGAGCGCGGCCCGTCCGCCCCCCGGCAGCATCCCGGCTTTGCTCCAGCCGGGAAAGGAGCCGGGAAGCAGCCCGGGACCCACCTGCATGAGCAGCAGGCCCACGATGAAGGCGCTGCCCTGGCAGTATCCGACCTCCCGGTCCACGAGGGAATAGGCCTGAAAGGGAAGAGAAGGGCGGATGAGCGGGAGCCGGGGACTGCCGGGTGCTCCACGGCTTTGCTTTATTTTATTCTATTTTATTTTATTCTATTTTATTCTATTTTATTTTATTTTATTAGCACACTGTTTTTAAAGTCCTGATTAGGGATAGGTCCAACCTGTGGCACTTGGGCTTCAAGTTTAAGCTTCCCTCAGTTGGAATATTTGGAGCTGGGGTCTGGATGTGGCTCACTAAGAAGAGAGAAAACTTGTGTAATTGGTTATTTTATCTTATCTTATTTTATTTTATTTTACTTTACTTTCATCTTATTTCACCTTATTTTATCTTATTTTATTTCATTTTATCCTATTTTCAAGGTCAACAGCCTTCCCCTGAGCCTGTTTCACTCCTGGTTTTCATCCCAACTGGAAAACCTTGCGCTCAATTAGCCCCTTCCTCCCAATGGGAGAAATCCCAGTGGGAAAAGCCTGGTCCGGATGGACCGTTGTGGGCTCTGGAAAACTACGGGGTTTGGACACCCTTCCAAGGTGCAAGGCTGGAAAATCCCTGGAGAAAAACGGGAGGTTTGAGCACTGGTGTGGAAAAAAAGCCACTGTTTTGGGTGGAAAAAAAGCCACTGTTTTGGGTGGAAAATGGTGGTTTGGGGCTTCGTTTTGGCCGCTCTGGTTGGAATTCGGTGGCTTTAATGGGGGGAAAAGGGCGAATCTGGGGGCCGGTGGGGGTGGAATCGGAGCATCCCGCGGGCGCGACCGGAGCATCCGGAACGGGAAAAGGCCGGAGCGGCCTCCCACCTTCATGACGTTGAAGAGGACCTCCTGGCCCAGGCTGTCCTGGCCCTTGAAGAACTCGTGCTCGGGGTAGGTGCGCGCGATGTCCCTGCGGATCAGCTTCTCGCACGGCGACGACATCTTGAGCAGCTCCGAGTACTGGTTCTTGACCGGCATGTCCGTGGCGCTGCACAGCAGCTGCCAGACGATGGCGCGGAAGTGGTGCGGGATCCCCTTCCGGATGAGCTCCTGCGGGAAGCGGCGCGCGGAACTTCACCAAAAATTCCATAGGAACTTAAGGAAAAATTTCTTAACATTGAGGGTGCCGGAGCCCTGGAACAGGCTGCCCAGAGAGGTTGTGGAGTCTCCTTCTCTGGAGATCTTCAACCCGCTTGGACGCAGCCCTGTCCCCGTGCTCTGGGTGACCCTGCGTGTGCAGGGGTTGGACTGGGTGATCCCTAGAGGTCCCTTCCAACCCTAAGCGTTCTAGGATTCTAGGATTCTATGGCCCTGGAAGCGCCGCCGGGAAGCGGGAAGGGCGCGCGGGGGCGGCACCTTGAGCAGCTTCTCCTTCTTCTTGCGCCACTCGTCCCACTCGTTGACGATGCGGCCCCACAGGATCCACGTGTCCTCCTCCAGGTGGCTCAGGTTGGACGAGGCCGAGGAGCTGGAGACCAGCGAGGAGCCGCTGTTCCGCCGGGAGCCGTTCATGGAGCGCATGGATTTGGAGTCGGCTTCCAGGAGCCTGCGGGAGAGCCCGGACATGGGAAAAGCCACCGGAGGCAACAAGCAACAATCCCGGGATGAGGATAACGGGGTGGAAAAGCCAGGAGATGGGGAATGGCTGCCCAAAGCTCTCGGAGATTCCCAAGCTCTCCAGAGCTTCCCGAACAGCAGATTTCAGCCCGGAAAACGGGCACGGCGCTCACCTGTTCTGCTCCTCCAGCTTGGCCAGCAGCTCCAGCTCATCCGGGCTGAGGTTTTCCGAGTCGGACGCGGGGGAGCAGGCGGGCGCCGAGTTCACGGACGAGAGGCCCTCGTGCGACGAGGAGTCGGGGCTGGCGGCCGGGCTCGCCATGGCCGGGAAGGGCCGCGCGGCGCCGGAGCCGCCGGAACGCCGGGATGCCGCCCTCACCTGCAAAGGGAAACGGGGGCTTTTCCCAAGGCTGGAGATCCTTCACCGGAACGCCTCGGCCTAGAAACGGGAGGGAAGCCGCATCGGGACTGCTCAATAATGGAATTACGCTCGGAACGAGGGAATGGCTTTTTTAAGGAAGAACGCTCGGAACGCGGGAATGGCTTTTTTAAGGAAGAATGGAGCATCCCAGCGGTCCTCAGAGGCGACTCCTGAGGATGGAGCGGGATTTCGGATGCTCCCCCCTCTTCTTTCCAGCGTAAAATTCCTGGGAGCGCCAGGGTAAAATTCCTGGGAAAAGCGCAATTCCAAGCGGATTTGATGGGGGCTGCTGGGGAAGCGCCGTATTCCCAGCACATTGTGAACCGGCAACATTAGGAAAAGCAAATCCCGATCCGCCGCAACGGGAAAAGACGTCGGAGCCGCAGCACAAAGCGGCCGGAATCGGGACTTTGGGGGTATCCCGGGCTCATGGAGGGATCCGGATGCATCCGGGCGGCCTCAACGCGGCACGCGGATCCAACGGATCCGGATCCGGCCCTGCCACCTGGGCAAAGCCCGGGCTCTTCCGGGCAGGATGCAGGGAAATCCGGAAAAACGTAAATAAAGGGAATTCGCAGCCCAACCTGTCAATGCACGAAGAGGCGGAAAAGGGAAGGAGACCAGGAAGGATCCTCCCGATCCGGGCGGATGCGCCGGGAAGCGGCTGGGGAAGTTTGGCTTTTCCAAAGGAAAAGGTGGATTTTTCCCCTTCCGCCTGGGATTTCCCAAGACAGAGGGAAAAGCCGGGGCCGGGCGAACCCCGCGGGGCCAAATTCCCCCTCCGGCAGCTTCCGCAACCTCGATTCCAGCCGGCGGGAATGGTCCAGCAGCTGAGCCGGAATCCTGACGGAAACCGGGAAAAAACCAACCGGAATCGCAGGAAGCGAAAGGAAAGAAAATGGGAATAACGAAGGGAAAAATCCCGGGCGATCTGGGTGCCCTGCCGCCCGCCCCCGGCGCAGGGGGAAAAGGCTGGAGCGAGCGGGATGCGGGAAGCCGGGCGGCCCCGCGGAGCCCTGGCCTGGATAGGAGGGAAAAGCATCGACGGCTTTGACCGATTTTTAGGGATTTCAAGGGAAAAATGTGGGGGGGAGGGAACACACGGATG